CCCACTCACACTCACTCACACTCTCTCATCATCAACCTCATCAGCATCATCGATGATGCTCTCTCACATGCTTAGTCACTCACATACTCATCATCATCATCACTCGCACTCTCTCACACGCTCACGAACATCATCATCATCATCATCATCATCATCATCGGCATCGGCATCATCCTCATTCAAACATCATCATCGCCACCACCACTCACAATCAATCATCATCCTCTTCACCACTCATCTTCACCACCACTCATCATCCTCATCCTCATCATCGTTGAGTAAATTGTGAGGAAGTCTCAGGCGGGAGCCCCCTCCCTATGGGGCCCGCAGATCATGTTGGTAATCCGAGCGGGTCATCGGAAACCTGTAACTGTCGTCACTTTTGGGCTCGTCAAGCCTGAAAATGGAGGAAGTCTCAGGCGGGAGCCTCGTCTGTGAGTGAATTGGGAGGAAGTCTCAGGCGGGAGCTCCCTCCCTATGGGGCCCGCAGATCATGTTGGTAATCCGAGCGGGTCATCGGAACCTGTAACTGTCGTCACTTTTGGGCTCCTCAAGCCTGAATTTGGAGGAAGTCTCAGGCGGGAGCCTCGTCTGTGAGTGAATTCTGAGGAAGGCTCAGGCGGGAGCCCCCTCCCTATGGGGCCCGCAGATCACGTTGGTAATCCGAGCGGGTCATCGGAACCTGTAACGTCGTCACTTTTGGGCTCGTCAAGCCTGAATTCGGAGGAAGTCTCAGGCGGGAGCCTCGTCTCTGAGTGAATTGTGAGGAAGTCTCAGGCGGGAGCCCCCTCCCTATGGGGCCCGCAGAGCATGTTGGTAATCCGAGCGGGTCATCGGAATCCTGTAACTGTCGTCAATTTTGGGCTCCTCAAGCCTGAATATGGAGGAAGTCTCAGGCGGGAGCCTCGTCTGTGAGTGAACTGCGAGGAAGTCTCAGGCGGGAGCCCCCTCCCTATGGGGCCCGCAGATCATGTTGGTAATCCGAGCGGGTCAGGAATCTGGCTGCAGGTGCACGGCTTCAAGGAGTCTCCGATCTACCAGGAGGTCGCCGAGGTGCTGCGACAGGGCGCCGAAGGCGCCGACGACGACGGCCAGGCCGAGGCGCGGGCGCGGAGCTTGCTGATGTTCAGGCCCAGCGAAAGGGAGTTCACATGGCAGAGCTCGGGGGCGCACAGCGTGCGCCGCTCGGGGTTCACCCTGACGCACGCGTCCTACCTGACCTCCACGCTGTCGCAGGGCCAGACGCTGCGCAAGGGCGTCACCATCGACTGCGCGAGAGACGAGGACGCTGGCCGCACGGGCATGTCGGACGAGCAGTGGTGGCTGCACCTCTACGTCATGTTCTCCCGCGCCACGTGCATGCGGAACATGCTGATCCTGCGGCCGCCGCCGCGAGAGTTCCTGGAGTGCGGGCCGCCGGCGTCCCTGCGGAAGGCGCTCCTGGAGTTCGACAAGAGAGCGGTTTTGTCCAGGGCGGAGGCGAAGCAGCTCGCGGCAGAGCTGGGCTTCGTGCTGCCTTCCGCCTGAGCGCGGCTGCGCCTCGCTCGAAGCCCGCGGGGTTGTCCCAACGGCTTGGTCTTGCGCGCCAGCGGCTCGCGGGGTTGTCCCGACAGCCTGGCCCGCGGGGTTGTCCCAACGGCTGCGCGACGTGACCAGTAGAGAACGCGCCTGTGCTGGCCGTGGCGGCGACGGCGCCGAGGAACATCGACACGCGCGCTCATGCAACAGGAAGGGGAGGAGGTGGCGGGGCGCGGAACAAACAGGGGGGCGAGGATGGGGACAACGTAAGGAGTGGAAGGGGGGCCTGCGCCAAGGCGAGAGGAAATATACGCAGAAGAGACAGCCAGGACGCCTCACCAACCACGAGGACGACGGTGATGTTTTTTTCCAGATTCGCCCAGAAGATTCTTATGTTGGGTTCTTCCGTCGGAGTAATTTAGGTTTCGTGCGTGGCTTTTTCGCCAAATGATCAAGGATGCTCCTCGATGGTCCTCGCCGAAGGAAAAAATGCACACGTCCGAGCGATGCTTAGACCCCTGACATTGACCAAAACAGCCTTAAAATGGCCACAACATGCCGCCCAGCCTAGCCTTACAATATGACCCAGGATGGCGGCGACATGCGTCCAAGAGGCTCCCACGATGGGCTGCATAGGCCCAGAAATAGATCCAATATTGCCGAAGAGGTTACCAAAGTGGTCGGACAGGACCCAAAGTGCCTCCGCGACGCATCAAAATGGCCGAACACGACACTGAATCTGCTCCAAATAACCACAAGATGGCTCAGTCTAATTGGCTGGCATCTTTGGGCGCAACCCTTCAGATCAGTTGAAGCGCGTGCAAATGATTCAATGTTTGCACTCTTCGAGGGGCCGGCTAGCGTGCCTCTTCGGGGACAGTCGCGATCCCTCCTGAAGGCTGTTTGGAAGCCTCTTCTTGCATTTTGGAGCCGTCCTGAAAGAGGTCGTGGGCGTCCCTGGGCCATCTTGAAGACTCCGGTGAAGACTGGCCGCGTACATCGAGGCCCCAAGACGTCGGAGGAGGCCGCGACACACCCTGCGTACATGTGATGGCCCTGGTGTCTTTACGCCAGCCCCCATCACCCTCTGGAGCCGAGTACCGTACATCTGAGAGAGCGCATTTCACGGGCGCTCGCCTTGAAGACATTTGGCGGCGCGTTTCGAAACGGGGGGTGGCCCCGCCCCCACCCCCAACACCCGGCGCCGTCGATCAGAAACACAGGAATTCCCCTCCCCCTAAAATCCCCCCCCCTCCCGACCCCCCCCCCCTCCCAAGGGGGGGGGGGATTCAACCCCCCCCCGGCGCTGGCGCCGGAGCCGGCGCTGGCGACCGCCACCAGCGCCGACGGCGGGGACGCAGCGACGATGACCAGAGAGGGCCCAGGGGGAGGGGAGGAGTTCCAAACACCCCCCCGTCCCCCCCCCCCCCCGCGCAAGCGCTGGCGATGGCGCTGGCGGCGGCCAACCGTGCCGACGGCGGGGACGCAACGACGATGACCAGAGAGGGCCCAGGGGCCGCAGGGGGAACACACAAATCGCCATATCGAGCCCTCGCCCCCCAGAAGCAACCGAGAGGCCCTTAGGAAGGTCCGGTGTACGTTCCTCAGGGCTCACTCGTGCTCTTCAGACGCCCCCAAGACCCTTCTGACGAGACCTCGAGAGACATCCATTAGAACTCTGACCCGAAGCCAAACACGGCGGCGGGAAGAGCCGGAGGCCACACCACCACCACCCACCACAAACCACCACACCAAACCACCACCACAGCCACCACCACCACCACAACCACCACAACCCACCGCTACCACCACCATCACCACAAACCACTAAACCACCACCACCACCACCAAAAAAAAAACGACCACCACCAGCACCGCCACAACCCAGCTCAACCCACCGCAACCACCACCACCAAACCACCACAACAACTACCACCAATATCAACACCACCGCGAGCACAACCATCACCACAATCACCACCACCACCACAAACCACCACACAACCACCATCACCACCACCACCACCACAACCACTCCCACCATCACCACACACCACCCACCACCCACCACCACCACCAGCACCGCCACTAGCAGCGCCACAACAACCACCAACACCACAGCCCACCACCACCACCAACACTTCCAAACAACTACAAACCACCAAGCCACCACCACCACTGCCGCCACCACCGCCACCACCACCACCTCAACCCACAACCACCACCACCAAACCACCACACAACCACCAACACCACGGCCACGACCACCAAACCACCACAACTTCTCACCACCACCACCACAACAATCACCACCACTACCACCACCACCACAATCTAACACGACACCACCACCAGCACCGCCACAACCACCACCATTACCAGCAGCACAACCTACCACCACCACAAACCACCACACCACCACCACCACAACCGCCACCGCCACCACCTTCACCTCCACAAACCACCACACCACCACCAACACCACAAACCACCACCACCACCACAAACCACCACACCACCGCCACCCACCACCACAACTACCACCACCATAACAAACCACCACACCACCACCACAACCACCACCACCGCAACCACCACCACCACCACAACCAGCCACAGCCATCACAAACCACCACACCACCACCGCCACGACCACCACCCACCACCACCACCACCACAACCACCACAACAAACCACCACCACCACCGCCACCACCACCACAAAACCACCACCACCACAACCACTACCACCAACACAACCACCACCACAAACCACCACACCACCACCGCCAAGACCACCACCACCACCTTAACCCACCACCACCACCACAACCACCACCACCACCAGAAAGAAACCGCACCACCACCACCACCTTAACCCACCACCACCACCACAACCACCACCACCACCAGAAACCACCGCACCACCGCCACCACCGCCACCACCACCACCACAACCTGCCACCACAACCACCATTACAACCACCACCACCACAACCACCACACCACCACTACCACCACTACCACCACCACCACAACCACCACCACCATCACCACACCACCACCACCACAGCCCAGCCGCCGCCGTAGGCGCCGGCGCCGGCCCAGAAAAGGAAGTCGTCGTCCCCGCCGCCGCCGCCAGCCGAAGCCGACGCAGGCGCCGGCCCGAGGAGAGGGAGAGAGGAGAAGTAGGGGAGGAGGGGGGGGGAGCCCCCCCCCTCCATCCAGGGGGGGGGTCCGGTGCCAACCCTCCCCCCCCTCCAAGCGACCACAGAACGAGCTCGTTCGTACATCTGAGAGCAAAGCTTAGGGACAAGTTACACACTCAAGAAGCTGGAGTCATGTGCTTCGCCACGCACGCCCGTCGCAGCGTTCCCACCGAAGGAAAAATCGATGTTGCTTCGAACTCCACCAGATGTCCCTATTGTCACCCTCATCCTGCATCAAGACCTCCGGGTACCCACCCGCCCTCTGGGCATGGGCCTGCCGCCCATCAAACGCATGGCCGGCAGCTTGAACATGTCTGTCGGCTTGTGCTGACCAACCTCGCCGCGCGCCCAAGCTCCCCCATTCCGCGGCGGCGAGCGCCAGCGATTATCGAGTCCTGTAGACAAGGTCAACTGCGGCGCCAACTCACAAAACAATCCGCGGGGCGCGCCGACGAGGAACTTGGCCCTCGTTCTCCTTCCTCTGCGTCGCGCGTCCCCATCGTCCTTCCCGCCACCTACCCCCATCCCCTTCCTGCCGCTGCTGCTGCGCTGCCGCGCTGCCTGCTGCATGCTGCTTCCGCTCGACCGCTGTTGCTGCTGATGCTGCGCTGCCAGCCGCTGCTGCTGCTGCTGCTGCTGCTGCTGCTGCTGCTGCTGCTGCTAAGGATGCTGCTGCTGCTGCTGCGCTTTCGGCGCACCTGTCACGCGCTTCGAGCCCCGCAAGGAAAACCAACTAAATCCCGGTTGGGGCGCCCGTACACCGTGCCGCCTCAGTTGGGCAAACCACCTACGGGGACCGTGCCCCTTAACGGAGAGCTCCAACTATGGCCCCAGCCGGGGAGCTCGCATACCGTCCCCGCCTCACTTCGACATTAGAACCAGGCGTCGAGGTACTGCGGCGTGCGATCCAGGCCGAGCGGCTCGCCTACCTGGTGCGGATGAGGCTGCTCAAAGCCACCTGCGACACTGTCCGCCGAGGAACAGGGTGGGAGAGGCGCGGTGAGAAGGGTAGGACCTCCTCCTCCTCCTCCCCCTCCTGCTCCTCCTGCTCCTGCTGCCGTCGCTGCTCTGTTGTCTCTGCATCAGCTGAGCGACGATCGCAGGAAGTGTTTGAGTTGCATTGGATTCAATCGGGGAATTCTGAAGCAGTCGTTGGCCCATTTCTGATATCCGTGGCCTCAAAGATGGCTAATATTCTATCTAAGAAGGCCAAACAACAGTCAAGATAGTCTCTAGACGGCCCAAGAAGCCTCCAAGACGTCCCCAGAGAGCTCCAAGAGAACCCCCAAGAGGGCCCCGAGAAGCCTAATCGCTTCAATTCCGAAGGACAACTCTCACATGTCCACCCTCAGCGGCTCAAGATGCCCCCACGATTGCTCCAGGACGGCCCAAGGGGTCCCTAAGAGGGCACCAAAACGTGGGGGAGCACGCAGTACGCTATTTTAGCTTCACTTTCGCTTGGCCCTTCACCACACTGGCGTTCCAGGCGTTTTCCAAGGCAGGGGGCGGAGCGACGTTGATTTACCGCAGACGTCTTCAATAGTTCTGCATTCAAGGATGAAGGAGCCACGGCGCTCCTCTTCAAAATCGAGTTCTGGCAAGAAAGGTCTCTGAATGGGGGGCGGCCGATCTTCGAAAGCGTGCTCTCACCCCTGCGCGGCGCACATGTTCTGAGCGTCCCTGCCAGCTGCACGGAGATAGATCACTTCCGCCTCAAGCTCAATGCGCATTGCAACGCCATGCGGTAAAATCATAGCCGGGTCGTCTGCGCACTCCGAAGCATGTTCCGACAGGTGCTTGCCGCGGCGAGAGAGACCATCATCACTCGAGAGGGGGCCTCCGACTGGAGAGTGTCTTGCAGCATGAGTGGTACTCTGGTCCTCCTCCTCCTCCTCCTATCCGACCGCTGCTGCCGCCGATTCCCCTGCACTCTGCCCGAGCATTAGTAGCCCCCTCACTCACTCACATGTTTTGCGTCGGCGGCTAGGCAAAGCCACTGCGCTGGCGAGAGTAACGCTCACTCACTCACAAGCCACACGCCGTCCGACGCGTTGGCAGGAAAGCAAGTTCAAGCAATCGCATTCGGGAAATGATGAAACGTCGTCCACTCCTTGCTCTACTCAGTAGCCCTCTGGCCGAACGTATTTGTTATCCGCAAGCACCGCGACACCTACGACCGCAGGGGGCACCGCGACGCCGACGACCGCCCCCTGTGCCGCAGGCTGTACTGTCTGCTGGACTTTGGGAACGACAATACGTGAACCGACCCAACCCTCTGGAGAAGAAGGATACGGAAGGAGCTAAGGTAAATGAGAAAGAAGAAAAGGAGGAGGAGGCGGAAGAGGAGGAGGAGAGGAGGTGGAACACACAGAGGAGGGAGGGTGGGAGGAGAGGAAGAGAGGATGGGGGAGAAAGGAAAGGAGGAAAGAGTGACGGGAGGGGGGAGGAGAGGAAGAGGGAGGAGGGGGGAGAAAGGACAGGAGGCGGAGGAGAGAAGAGGCGGAACGAGGGAGAAAGGGTGCGAGGAACACGAACCCTCCGATCCTCTTAGTCAGACCTCTCAGCCCTCATACTCACTCCTTAGCCCTTTTTTTTTTGTAATGCCCTACCGTCACTCCTCTCCTCAGCCTCCTCCTCCTACTCCTCTCCCCCCAAACTCCCCCCCATTTCTGGCCCTCCGTGCCCCAACCCTCCCGCCGCTCCCCGCTGCCCCCCGCGGCCGCCTCGGGGGCCCCCTCGCCGCGGCGGGCCGGCGCGGCGCGGCGGGCCTCGCGCGGCCACGCCCGGCGAGCCCCGCGCCCCGCCACGGCGGGCCCGCCGCGCGCCGGGCGCGCGCCCCGACGGCCCAGCGGGCTCTCGGGAGGGCCTTGGGCGTGGCTTAATGGGGGGGTCACCAATGGGGGTGTCAGAAAAAGGCCCCTTTCGTGCCCTTTTCGGGCCCCTCTGGAGCCCCAGGGGGCTCGTTGAGGTACCGTTTGGGTACCTTTTCGGACCACACTCGCCGCCCCCCCATGTATGCCCCCCCATTACGCAGCGCCCAAGGGCCTGGCCGGGGGCACTTCCCGACGGGGGGCGCGGCGCGCGGCGGGGGCCCGCGGTCTGCGGAGCGCGCCCGCCGCCGAGCGCCCGAGGCCCCGAGCCCCAGGGCGCTCGGGCCGCGGCCGCGGGAGCGGCAGGAGCCAAAATCCACGAGAATCGGCGCAGGGCTCGCCGATGGCACTTCCACGGGCACCGGGCCGCCAGGTCCATGCCAACTCCGCATCTGCGGAGCTGAGACACGACCTGGAAGAAAATCGCGTTCATATATCCCATGAGCACATCCACGCTATGACGCTGGACTGGGTCCGAGCACCACGCCCAGAAGTCGCGGAGCTTCCGCTTCCAAGTGCCGTTCGCTAGCACATTGCGCACGCGCGCGACAATGGCGACGATTTCGTTTCCAAAATGGCCGGCGTTTCAGTCCAGCGTCACGCGGCATATCATGCAAGGAAAGAGCGCTTTGACCACTCCCGAACCAAATCTGCGTTTGAAGTCGCCGTCGCGCCGCCGCTCCCAGCGGATGCATTCCAGCTTCCGCGCCACATTCGCCCGCGCGGCCACGAGGATCAAAGTTTCATCCCTGCCCTTTGATGGCGGGGTATTCCTAGCCTAGGCGGGGCGCGAGCTCGTCGTCCGCAACTGCGGCGTCGCTCGGTCGTGGTGGTTCGCGCAGGAGGTCCTCGGTCGCCTGCTCACACTCTGCCAGGCCCACGATTTGCCCGGGGCAGCTCTTGAGCTGCATTTCCATTCGTTCTCGCGTGGATTCCTTCATTAGTAATTTCCCCCAATTCCCGAAGATAGTGCCAATGTTTCGCGCGTGGTCCGCTGTTTTCTTCTCGCGCCTATACCGGAAACTTTCGGGGCGCAGCTGCGCCCTGTACACTGGCGAAGTTTCGCGGGCAACGCGCGCCTGTGCAGGGGCGCGGGGCGCCTGCGCGCGAGCGGCCGCAACTGCGACTGCCTCTTCTTCTAGCTGGTGTTCCTCCCCCTCCTGCTCGCTGCAAAACGTGTTGCCCCCCGTTTCGGCGTCGCCGGCGACCTCGGACAACGCGCCCCCTCCCTCGTCCTCCACGCGCGGCGCCTGCGCGGGGGCGGGCGCGCCGGCGGCGCGTCGCCACGGCAAAGTCCCCATGAATTCGGATGGCTCGGCGGTCGCGGCGCCGATCTCGGGGGCGGAAAAAAAAGAGAGGAGGGGTGATATGAGGGATGATGGATGAGATGCGTGACTGAGTTGCGGCATCAACCGCCGAGAGGTGGAGGGCGAGGGAGATGGGTTGAGGAGCAGGGCCATTCCGATTGCTGTGTTGGGGACTTGCACGGGCGGGCAACGATTTCGATCACTTGGAGCGGCGCGGGATGGGAGGGGGAGGGGGGGGGGGGCGGCAGGGCGCGCTGTGCCCTAGCGCGGTTGGCTTTTCGCGCAGGTGACGCGCGCGGAGCCGCCCCCCCCACCCCGCGCGCGGCGGCGCCAGCCGAGCGCGCCGACCCAGCGGCGCGCCGTCTCCGCCTCCAGCCTGCGCTGCTGCACCTGCTCGAGGGCCCCCTCCCCTTCGCGCCGGCACCGCAACAGTTCCTGCCTGAAGCGCTTGCAGTCCTCGCCAGCCTCGGCGTCGCCAACGTCGTCGCGCTCCTACAGCAGGTCCACGGGGACCACGTGCTCCAAGAACTTTTCCGTCGCCGTCGCCCTGGGCGCCTCT